CTATTCAGGAGGGCACCTCAAGGGAGGACATGGACTAGTAGGCATAAACTAATAGAGGGTAAATTCAGGTTGAATATAAGGAAAAACTTCTTCTCTGTAAGGGTCACCAGAATCTGGAACTGCACTCCCAGCAGAGGTGGTGCAGTTGCCATCCTTGGAGGTGTTCAAGATGAGGCTCGACAGGCACCTTGCCGAGCTCATCTGAGCCCAATACTTCCTGCCCATGGCAGTGGACTGGATTTGATGATCCCACAGGTCCCTTCCGGTTCTGTGATTCTACGATTCTAACTTCAAATCCTGGTATAATTTGCATTAGTTTACAAAAGCACAATAAATTATGCTGCTGTAAATATGCTGTGTGCCCAGGCCTTTAAGTAAGTGTTCTTGCTCAGAAGTTTTATGAACAACTGCAGAAAGAAACACTTCCGTAAAGAAAAACATAAAAGGCTAACATTTTTAAAAGTGTCCTTGGAACATGCCCACCCATGCAGTTGAGTTCAACATTGCACATGTAATTTCAGAGGCCCTTTAAAATGGGCCTTCTAACCCCTCAGTACTAATACAGCACCAGTGTTGTGTAGCTAAGATACGGAGAGGGTAATTCAGAGATGCTGGTACTTCCTGTATAAGCATGTTACCTGAAGTGGCAAAAAAATGGAGGCTGTGCTACAGTGGCTCCTCTTGGAGCGTATGCTGGCTTACAGGATAAGGACAGCAGAGCCCTCTGCTCGGCTCTGCTCTGCTCTGCTCTGCTTGGGACAGAGTTTGCTTTCTGGCAGCTGTGCATGGTAGGAGCTGGAAGAGCACGGCTCAGTATCAAAGTGTATTCTGTCTGCAGAGCTCCAAGGCACTGTCAAAGCCTGTTAAGAGAGAGAAGTCTGGGCTCCCTTTTTACTGCTAGTAAATGCTCACAAACCCACCATTCCAAGCAGCTGAGAATCTTCTTTTACAGTTAACATTAGATACATATTTTAGTTAAAAAATCATGACAGTCTGTTGGATTCATTTGTGTAGCAGTTGGCTGCCTCCTCTGACATTTTTTCAGGTCTGCAGAGTTAGCGTCATGAAATTATGGGTCTTGTCCTTACTGCTCCTTTACCACATGTCTGGAGCCCCAGAGTGGGGAATACACTGACTCTGCCACTAGGAATCCTATGTGCAATGAGTTTGGCCCCAGTTGTCCTACAGCCCCCATTCAAACATGGAAAGAGGAGCCAAAGTCACCCTGTGACTTGCTGCATTGTTCACTCCAAAGGGTCAACCGGTGGAACAGCTGCAATATTTGTTTCATAGAGTTAAAATCAGAAGGAATCATTAATCAGATTGTCTGATCTCCTGTATAGTGTGGGCCATTATATTCCATGCAAATACCCTATATCAAGCCCAATAACTTTATTTAAAGTACTGAAGTCCCAGCAGGTGACCAGGTGACAAACCTGCTAGACAAAACATGATCAGGCTACATCTCACATATGGAGTGAGGCTGCACAGTAACTGGAAACAAAGATATTCCTGTAATATTTCACATATATTTCCTGGCTGACCCTGTATGGTGTACAATGGACTTCAAGAGATGGGATAAGAGAGAGTGTGGTCCAGTGATCTGAAGTAATCAGAGAATCCTCCTTGGATGCCTGGCTGCGGTGTCTTACTCTTAGGTCAGAGTCACGCTGATTGCCTGATTTGAGGTTAGGAAGGAGGTTTCTACCTAGTGAGGTTAGCAGAGATCTTTGGGGTGGTTCTCATATTCTGGAAGCTGCAAGAGAATTCAGTGTGGGTGGACACTGTTTAAATACCCTTCCCCTTAGCATTTGCTCTGCTTCTGTGGGATGCAGGCTACTGGGCTTGATGGGTCTATGGTCTGACCCAGTACAAGACTTCTTATGTTCTCAGGTTTGTTGTTGGGGGAATTTGTCTGGATCACCTTATCTCTAATTTACTTTATGGTTATTGGCTGAATGCAGTGGTTAAACTTAAGGCAGAACTGCTGGGAGTTGAGCCTGTGTCTCAGATCGGCCTTGAGACAGCTGGGAGAGAGCAGATAAAGAGATACATTGTTTTATCTGGGGCCCTGCAGGGCATTACCAGCACTTATCAAAAATATATTTTAAAACCAGCTATAGGAACTTCATGTCTTATGAACTCCAATATCTCAGATGTGAGTCTGAGTGTGGTTTTGCCTGTGATCACTCACTGGAGGAATTCATTCGCTCTGGCATGCTGAAGATTATAAAAAAAGAGAAGAAAGAAAAAAAAACAACAACCCAGGGACAAGTAGCAGTGCCCAGAGATTGAGGTTTAAAAATTGGCTGCTGCACATTTGGCAGAACCTCATGTATGGAAACTTCCTGTGGGTTTGCACTGTGCAGACTGGATTGTTTAGAATGATCATTCAGCCTCATGCCAATGAAGGACTACAAAGATATTTTCAGGATGATTGCCAATAAGTGTCAAAAATTCAGATACATCGTATAGATAAAACCACAGTAACATATGGTATAAATGAATCTGAATTCTAAACTTCTAGTTACTTATGTTCTAAAAACCTGGCTGTTACCAGCCTAGTCATATAATCCAGGGAGTTGGGCATCTCAACAGTTTTAACAAATACCACAAGAAACTTCTTCTTATCTTTAAACATCAAAGCTCCTTTTAAAATTTGGCCTGATGTTCAAAGGAGCACATGGGCATTTAAAACATGATAGAGATGGTGTTCAGGAGCTGGATCAAATTATTCTCATAAGCATCTACAAAAGGCAGTGCCTGAAATCTAGGTACCCTGTTCCAGAAGGTAATCCACATTAACAGGATTAGGGGTGTAGAATTCCCAAACAATTAGTGAAGACGGGTAGCTCCAGAGCAGGGGTGGGCAATTATTTTGGGTGAAGGCCCACTTACTGAGTTTTGCAAGCCATTGAGGGCTGCATGACAGGCAGCCAGGGGCAGATAAATACTAATTTTTAAAAAATTTTAGGGACCCCATGGGCTGGATAGAATGGCCTGACGGGCTGCATCTGGCCCATGGGCTGTATTTTGCCCACCGCTGCTTCAGAGGATGATTCAGGCCACCTAGGCGTTAAGCAGGGAGTCTCCTAGAAGCAGCCAATAAGGAATGCACAGGGGTATGTCTGAACTCCTGTCTCTCCTCAGACCTTGGGCATCTGACTGGCATGTGAATGTTTGGCACCCTTGTTCTCTTGGGATCCAAAGTGCCCAGAAGTGAGGTGCCTAATTTACAATGACAACTGCATTTAGTTTAAAGAAAAATATAGCATCCTGCAGTCTCTGTTAAATACAGAATTTCTCTGGGAGGGTAGAAACTTGTGTTTTGGTCACTGCTTCCCAGGTTGTTTGTTCATTTTACCTTAGGTGGTCAGTGGCTAAAAAATAGAAATCACAGTAGGAGCAGAGACCAAAATCCAGGTTCTGCAAATGTATGGGGTAGAGTGCTTCACTTGGTAGAGAACTCAGTGCTGCTGGGACTTGGGCAGGCTTTAGGCACATTCCAGCTCCCATCTGGATTACAGTGGAGCTCAGGTAGAATTTGGTGCCTAACATTTGGTAAGCTCCAGCCCACACCAGTAAAAGGCAGCCAACTCCTGGTTTACTGCTGAGTGAGTCTCCCACTTACCAAGTGGGAGACTCACTCAGAATTGGTTCCCAGACCTCTGTGGTTTGAAAGAGCTCAAACCACACCCCCAGTCTCCCAGGAGAATGCCAGGTGAGAGCTGAGGCTGGAGAGGGGGCACTCTCCTCTTCTCCCATTGAACCTGCAGCACTGGAAGGCAGCCAGGCATGCAAGATGTGTTGGATCCAAAATAAAGAGCAACAAGTAATGCACGTGGCTGTAGCCTAGTGGTGCCGATACTCAGCTGGGAGGGACTGAGTCTTGGGTCCTGGTCCCTGCGTCCTGGATTGTTTGTTCATTTAACTTTTAGCAGGTACTGGGTAAAAAAAAAGAAGTTGGGACTCTGGAACTCTCCCCTCCCTGCCGCCAAGTGAGTCTCTAACCACTAGGCTGCCGAGTCAAGTTCCTTCTCATTTGCTTTCTTTTGGGCCCATGGATCTTACATGTTGCATAATCCCAGCTTCAGCAGCTGGGGTAGAGAGTACGTCTCAATATAGTTGATAGCCTGGTGGATAAGGCACTCTCCTGAGAGATGGGAGATATGGGTTTGGCCCTCTCGGGTGTATCATAGTGTTAATACATTGGAAAGTACATCAGAGTGGTTCAAAGATGCCACAAAATGGCCACCACAAAGCAAGGGCTCCTCAGCAGAAGCTAAAACTTTGTTTCCATCCTAGCCCATGAGTCCCAATCAGTCTGTAATAGAGCTCCAGACCCTACACTGGTAGTGATGGGACAAGCAGAGAGGAACTTCCAGCCTGGATTAAAAGATACGATTTTGTCTTAGTTACTAATGACACTGCGTTAAAAGTGAAGGAATGTTGGAACTCCACGTTTGCTGACTCTCTTGATGATGTTTGTTTTGCAGATTTCTCTGAATTTAAACAGTAGAAGTCCATAACATTGTCTTCCCTTTCAGGAGCTTGATGTTACACTGGTTTAGATTCAAGTCCTTCAAGACACCACTGACTTGCTTAAAAATCACTGCTCCTTTTGCAAAGTTAAAATAAATCAAGGAGAAGTCTTTTAGTCTTGGGTTGTTTCTGTACAAAATCTTAATGTGGAATCAGAATGTTGTCTCCCTTCTTAAATATGTGAGCTTTGGAATAAAGTTCTGTAGGAAACTTGACTGGGAGGAGGAGCCCCAGAAGTCCCTGAAGACTGTCTTTCATCACAGTGGAACAGAGTGTGGTGACATCAGTGTTGGAATGCTGATGTGAATGGAAGTAGCAGAAGTGATGCACTGTATTCTTCCATGAATAGAAAATCCTGTATAAAGGGTGACTGAGGGGCTGTCAATAGCCAGGTCCCACACAGATGAAATGTTAGGAAGAAGGTGAAACCTAGCAACTGTACTTGTGTTCCCTTTCAGGGACGCACTGGATGCTGCTACCCTGCTTTATAATGAGGTGGATGAAGGTGTCCATCGGCTGGTGA